TGCAGACATGATAATCATGACACGCGTCTCATGTAAGAACATGAGGACATACCACGCTCATAGCGTGCTCGTGGCCGTTTCGCCAGCTCCACATACACTAAATTTGGTATCACGTGACGTGAATAGATGACGAAGGTAAACGACACATCCAAACATGATAATCATGACACGGAAGTCATGTACGGCATCATTTACCCTCACCTCGTAGCGTTGTGGTGATTTTAAAGTGACATATCAACATTTCTCATTCGTGCTTCGCATATCATCGATTCCCACTGTACGTGGCATCTGCCAAATTTTTTATCTTTTTTTTTGTGCATGTTCAGTGTTTGGTATTCACCTTTTCGATCGTTGTAAACATAGCAATAGCAGCAGCACCGCTTGCTTCCCAAGAAACTTCCGGTTACTTTCGTCATAACTCTCTAATGCTTGTTCTTTTAGTTGGGCCAGAGTATGGGAAAACTTTTTTCCCGCTTTCAGGTAAGAAGAAGGCGCCTATATTTGACAACTAACTTCTATAATGTTGTGTGTAGCTTAGAAGAAAACGTATTTGAATATTTTGGGCAGACAAAGGCGTGAAGAGTGTTGAAATTGAGCGTGCTAGTCGCTAACGCATTCGTTCTCCGCCAATGCTTCCATGTTACGCTGGTGCACAAAACCGGAAGCTGTCCAGCAACTGTCTGTAAACAGCGAAAGAGTTCATAGCGTTTGGTACTTGAGAATCAACGTTCTTGAGACGCTTCTCTGAATAATTTGCACTGAGCCGCTTGTCGGTGCGCCTGCCCAGCTGTGAACAATCGCGTTAGCTCAAACCTCAAGCACTGCTGACTGAGAAATGTTAACACTACACATATTCCTCAATAAAGGTTCGTCGTCACTGGTCTTAATAATATGTTTGGCTGAGCAGCAATCTTGAAACTTTCAAAAAATTTTTAATACGTTGAAATTTCTTTAGGAAAACCACTGACAGGTTTGTGGGTCTCTATCATAAGGTCAACTGAAATATTCGCCTCCTACGAGCTGCAGCTCACCGGTTAACTGAAAAGAGCGTCAAGCTGCACGTCCGCAGCAGCCGTTCAGCGTGTTCCATTGTTGAATCTCGGGACGGCTTTAAGCTCTCCCATAGTAAAGTATACCTGGTACTCTAAATCGTTACCCACTTTTTCTAACACCCCCCCCCCCCCCCCAACCTCGGGACGGTATTAAGCTCTCCCATAGTAGAGTACCCTGTGCTCTAAGTCGTTACCCCCTTTTTCAACCCCCATGAAAGAAAAGGAAAATGGTAGGGTGAGGGTAGGCTACAGCGTGTAGCCCATTCTCCCGTGTTTCACTTCCAGAATTTCTAACATACCCAATGATATATCTACGAAGGCAGCTTTAAGGTGTCTGCACTGATTACTGTAGGGTATCTCTCTCCTCGCCAAGAGCGCCTGTGCAGAAAGAACTGCAGATGAAGTCGCTTGCAATAACTCTAGTAGCACCGTTCGTGCCAGTGAGCAGGCTCCTCCTCTCCCTTGTGCTTGGTAGTCTAAGTGCCTTCTAGTCCGTCCTTTGTCGCGTGACGCTGAGCCGTGCTACCAATAATTATTCGCGCCGAGGTCGGGCTATGGGTGGCAGCACCGTCTCCACGTCGGCGGCGCACACTCAAATACACACAGCGGCGCTTCGTCGCGTGTGGTCTGAGCCGATTTTCGGCGAATAAAGTGCATTGACTGCAGTTTAATGGTAATATCTGCGCTCCTTTATACTGAATCGATGCGCGAAGTCCATGCAGCGCTATCATTACCAGAGAGTGAATCGCATTATGCCTGTCAAGGGGATGCTTGCCCCGGGTGACTATCAGCCCACTTCCGCACTAAATCACCGTTTTGCCGTGTTCTTTGTACGCGGTTAGCTTGTGTTGCACCTGCTACGCACTGCTGTAGCGTTAGTGAAGTACTTATTCGTTCTCATCTTCATGCAACAAAAAAATTAGAGAAAGAAATCTCGCAGAAAGCCCGCATATCTGTGAGATGGGTTCAGTACCGCCGTTCGCACTTATACGCATGTGCATTTTAAATACGAAGCGTTTCTTAACAAACTTCGGCGACTTTGAGCGTATCTATTTATCTACCCACCTACTACTTTTAGCTCTCCTGGCCGTTTCGATAATGGTATCGATACCAAACTTGATATGGCATAACATGACTGCATGAAGAACATATTTGACTAGATATAGTATGATAATTATGCCATTTATGTCATGAATCTCATGATTTACATTTCATGGTCATGCAGTTCTTGCGGTGATTTCGTTCACATAGCACGTTGCAAAACTGGTATGGTATGGCATGATTGGCATGGCGAACCCTAGCGAAAGACCCTAACATGAAATACATGACATGCGTGTCGTGTAACAACATGACTACATGCCACGCTCATGATGCGCTGGCGGCCGTTTCGCTAGCTTGACTTATACAAAATTTGGTAATTCGGGCGTGAATGAGGTATGATACTGTTGCAAGCATGATAAACATGAAATGCGTGTCATGTGAGAACATGACTACATACCACAGTGAAGGTGCCAATACATTTCGACGTGACGCGGTGCGCGTGCTCACCGGCGTTGCCACGCCAGGCGCCGGTCCTGCCAAATACTCGCAGGCACGGGCCGCGCTGCGTTGCTTTGACGCATGCGTGTTTCAGCGCATCCGGCGTCCCTCCGTGACAAAAAAAAGATTTATTAATTGATTTGATTGATATGTGGGTTTGAACGTCCCAAAACCACCATGTGATTATGAGAGACGCCGTAGTGGAGGGTTCCGGAAATTTTGACAATCTGGGGTTCTTTAACGTGCACCCAAATCTGAGCACAAGGGCCTACAACATTTCCGCCACCACCGGAAATGCAGCCGCCGCAGCCAGTATTAGATCCCGCGACCTGCGGTTCAGCAGCCGAGTACCTTAGCCACTGGTGGGGTGTCACGAAAAGAGAGAGACGCAGTGTTGTCTGGGTAACGCATCGGCGTGAAATGCTGCATGTCGCATTTCGCGCCGGTTGCCATCAGGCTGCACCAACGGACGCTGGTCGCGCCTGGCGTCAGACTATAGAGTGCTCGCGTTTTGCTAACGTAGCGTTGCTGTGCCCAGCGTGCGCGCGTGTCAACGCTACGTTGGAGTATATTAGGCCCTTCATGACGCGCTCGTGGTCGTTTTGCAAGATCCACATATCCCAGATTTGGCGTTACGTGGCGTGAGTTGATGATGAAATATATTACTGGTGCAAACATGATAATTCTGACACGTGTGTCATGTAAAAACATGACAACATACCACGCACATAACATGCTCGTGGCCGTTTTTTTATTGAAATAGAATAAACAAAGGAGTTTTCGACATCGTTACTTGGTGACGGCTACCCCTTTTCACTTAATTGGTACAAATAAAAATATGAAAGAAAAACAATAACATGCATACTTATATACAGTCCTACATGGGTGAGAGCAAAAGTTCTCCTATATGGGCAGAACAAACACGTAGACGACACGCTCACTTTTAACTTTTGTCCGCTCAGTATTCGTCACAAATCTTCGTTTCTTCGAAGAACTGTTGCAGCAACTTCACTGCTTTGCCGTTTGTTTTGGATGGCCATGGACCTAGTATTTTATTCAACCCAAATGGTCGCTCAGGATCTAGCCTATGCAGTTCTTGTTCTAGTCGCCTTCGGTGTGTGTTGTGTTTCGGACAGTCGAGCAAGAAGTGACAGATATCCTCGTCGTCGTGGTCGCATGAACATGCTGACCATGTTGCACGATGAATACGAAGTAGGAAGTGCTTTGTGTAAGCAGTTCAGAGTTGTAGTCGATGAATAAGTGTGTCGATACGTCTTGGGAGGTCACGGTCTAATTGGTATTCAAGATTAGGATCAACAGAATATAGGATCGATTCCTTTGTTAATTTCGCTAGCTCCACATATACTAAATTTGGTATCACGTGACGTGAATAGATGACGAAGGTAAACGACACGTCCAAACATGATAATCATGACACGCAAGTCATGTACGACATCATTTACCTCCACCTCGTAACGTTGGGCTGATTTTGAAGTGACATATCAACATTTCTCATTCGTGCTTCGCATATCATCGATTCCCACTGTACGTGGGATCTGCCAATTTCTTTTTTTTTGAAAGGCTAGCACTGCGTAAAAGTCGCAAGTGCTTTTTTTTCAGCTAATGTAAACAGCACGCGCATTAGGAGTAAAAGGTTCGTTGATACTATATCTGAAACATTACGTTTAACTAAGCAGCTATTACAGTGTCCCTGATGAAAGTCACCGACAGGTTCAAATTTTCGATATAAAAACAGCGACACACACATTGTTCTGAATGACAAGGTTGCCCATATGATGCACCAACTAGCGCATGACGTCGCAAAAATAGATAAGTGCGATTGGACAGAGGAGCTTTTCTTCCTCGGGGAGCAAGAGTTTCTGCGGCATTGGTCGTGCCCTTTCGTCAAGGTGGAACACGAAAGGATAAAACTCATTTTTCGAACGACTTGGTGCTAAGCAGCGCCCGTTGAGTTGTTTTATATGATTTCATTTGTTACATATCGTGTTTCATTGCATTTATTGTATCGTTATACCATTGTAACATGATATCGCATTCAGTTCTTGTGTACATATATGCCAACATTGTCATGTACATTAGAGCAAATGTCTTCATGTAACGTAGTGATGTTAGTCGTGAAATATATATGTGCCGAGGTGTATATTCCCTGTTACTGGAATGGTATGAAGCCTTTGTGTTCTGTACATGCTGTAAATAAAGTTTTTCTAAACAGCATGCATGCAAGTTCTGTGTGAGGGTAACAGTGTGTCTGGCGAGGGGCAGAGCTGACATTTTTTTCTCGGGTCGTAACGGAGTTCTCTTTATATTGTAGCAGACATGCCCACGCGTGATATAAGCCCTACGCGGGATATGTGTCGCGATGATGCGGTGACGCTGGTCAATGCTCACCCCAGCCGAGGGCGTAGTAGAGACGGAAGGGCGCGTCCTGCCGGAACACGGAGACCGCGACGCGCGAATGCAGCAGCAGTCCCTCGACGAACATCCAGTTGATGGAGGCCGTGGCCGCGTACATCTTCAGAGACAGCACGCACTTGCACAGCACGGGCTGCAACGTGAGAAAGAAAAGAAAGTGGCATCGATCGACAGCACAACTGAATGACATTCCCGGAAACGTTAGCCTGGCTTGCTAGTCCGTGTGTCCGGTGATAAACTGTGGTATGTGCAATGACAACAGATACACAGAAAAGTTACACCGTCTCCACTTGAAGGGAACCACGAGGGGAAGCGAAGCAGCATTAAGGTGTGCACTAAGTTTCGGTTTACATTCAATTGACGTTTACGTAAGTGTGTGCGCTTTGACTCGAAAGCCCCGCCACCCTCGCAGCAGACTCGCGTTGTCTCTCTGTAGCGGAAGCTCGACGCCGACGCTTGGCTTGCGCTTCCCTGGCCTGGAGTTCGGGATCCTCGTCTGTGGACGCCACCGGATCAAGCTCGCTCATAAGACGCTTAGGATCTAAAACAGTATGTTTAATACACCTATGACAGATACTTGTGGTGGATCATTGGTCAACTTCGAACTCGCAACAAGATTACCGCCCACGTTCCAGCAGGCGAAAGAGGTGTGTTTCCCACTCGCCGTCATGGCTTTGGGATGGGGGGTGATTATAACTCCCCCAATGTTTGCATTCACGCAAGCACGCGATTAAAGGGATTGGGGGACTACTGCCACCCTAGCCTTATTAGTAGAGCATCGGACGCGTTAATATAAAGTAGTAGATTTTGTCCCAGCCAACGGGGATCTGTCCTTTTCCCCTCTTTAATTTCTTTTGACTTATGCTATAATCACTAGATATAGTCATTTGTAGTATCCTTGGGTTCATGATTGTTTGTTGGTTGTCATCAATGTTATGTCTAATAAAGAAAACAAGAAGCCCTTAAATTCCCTTTATTTCGTAAACACACACACACACACACACGCACGCACGCACGCACGCACGCGCGAGCTAGTAAATTAATGTTCTGTTGAGGCGTTGTAAGAGACTGTCTACTTAGGGCAGGTAATAACTGCGGAGACGAACCACGAGACTGAAGTAACTAGAAGAATAAGAATGGGGTGGAGCAAATTTGGCAAGCACTTTAAAATTATGACAGGTAGATTGCCACTATACCTCAAGAGGAAGGTATATAACAGCTGCATCTTGCCGGTACTTAGCTATGGAGCATAAACCTGGAGACTTACAAAGAGAGTTCAGCTTAAATTGAGGACGACGCAGGGAGCAATGGAAAGAAAAGTGGTAGGTGCAACCTTAAGAGACAAGAAGAGAGCAGAGTGGATTAGGGAACAAATGGGGGTTAAGGATATTATAGTTGAAATCAAGAAGAGCCATTCGCCATGCCATTCGGCGTGCCCTTTATCAGCATGCCTTTGAATACCTTAAAAAAAAGAGAAGAAAAAGAGAAGCCCGTCTGTTGGAATGGGGGTAGTCTGTGCTGGTTTTTATGATTGCTAGATGCCAAGTAGAAACTTCTCGAGAGTACCGTGTAGCTCATTCTTGCAGGCTAACGAAACGCTGCGCAGTTTGCTTAACACTTCGTAGACAACTCCGCACATGCAAGATACGTGAAGAGGCTATATACCGTTTCGTCAATGTCCCCACGCCACCGCTTTGTGTTATCCTAAAGACAAGCTAACTCGGGAAATAGTAGAAGCCTTTTATATCATATGGTGTGCTCATAAATGCCAAAGCAGCCAATCGATTGTACTAAGTGACAATGAGTTCAATTATTTGAGCCATACTTGGCTTCTACATTGCGCAGGGCGTTGTATGTACCACTTATGTAAAAATTAATGTCATGTCGTGTTTTCTTTTGTTTCGCTCAATTGTTTGTTTGTTACTTTGTTACGCAAATGCGCTCTTTAAATACCCTGAGAAATATATTTCGTGTAGTTCCTTGAATAAACTTTGCGCGATCGACGAGGACGTATTAAAGTCTAGATAGATAGCTTTAAGGATTACCCCGAAGATGCTAAGCTCATTCATCGTCTGGCTTTTTACTTCATGTGTAGAATAATGACTGTAGTATATACAACGATCACACAGAATGCGTAATACGAACTGGGGCGTAATACGCAGATACGATACTCCATTCATGGAAGACTACTTTTAATAACGCTCTAATGACAGAATCCCACCCTGTGTTCTTTGTTACGTTTCTCATTCAGCGAGACCATTATCTCGAAATCCCCGGGGCATCGTTCATCTTGGGGTCCAACATTACTTATACATACCACGCGCTTTCATACAGACCTTAAGATGGCGGCGCGAATCATTGGCGCTGAGACAAAGTGCATCGACGAATTACTGAAACAACGAGCGACCGGAATTGAGACTATAGTCGCTGCTTTCTCCTGCTATTTTCTTTTTTCCTGCAGCTGTGATTGATGTACTCTACGAAAAGAACAGAAGAATGAATAAAACAACGCGTTTTGAGCGTTACATAAGACCTCCTCCTGTGGGGGACCTTCTGGTGCGCAGTTCACCAACTGAGGATTAAAGAGCACAGGCCTGCTTTAGAGAGGGCGTCAAAACGCCACACGTAATTAATGCGCTTCCTTCAAATATTAGTATAACCATTCTGCATGCGTTCATTTAAACTTAAGCCCTATTACACCACCTTCAATAAGTACGTATAGAGACCACGGCTTGGTGGTACGCCGAGCATTGTAGTTTGAGAATTTGTTGCTCACGCATTTAACGCATTTCGCTTTGTAAACGATGCAAAATGCGCAGTTTAAACGATTGATTGATTTGTGGGGTTTAACGTCCCAAAACCACTATATGATTATGAGAGACGCTGTAGTGGAGGGCTCCGGAAATTTAGACCACCTGGGGTTCTTTAACGTGCACCCAAATCTGAGCACGCGGGCCTACAACATTTCCGCCTCCATCGGAAATGCAGCCGCCGCAGCCGGGATTCGAACCCGCGCCCTGCGGGTCAGCAGCCGAGTACCTTAGCCACTAGACCACCGCGGCGGGGCGCGCAGTTTAAACGAGGCTGCTAAACAAAAGGGGTGTATAATAGCATGAAAATCTGGCCAAGTCGGTTATGAAAACATTATTGTAAACATTTCGGTGCTCACACAACAAACAAAAAGGAACAAAAGCTCAGAAGACAAAAGGGCGTGAACTCACGACGGTTTAGCACTTTATATGTACGCCATGTGAATTATCAGTGTTCACATTGAAATAGGGGTTGATTCATTCATGTGCGTTTCATTGCAGCGTTTGATTGCAGAAGATCCAGACAGAATGTGCCGTTTATAGCTATGTATTAAAAAGCACGCACTGCGTAGGCACATAAAAAACATTTGTTGGTATTGTCTTCACACCAGACTTTATTATGGTCTTTTTATCACAGGATGGTTTATTTGTAGACGAGTCAGTCATAATCCATCTTTACAAAGATGCAGAAAAACTCGCTGGCACGCTCGCTAACTAACTAACTAACTAACTAACTAACTAACTAACTAACTAACTAACTAACTAACTAACTAACTAACTAACTAACTAACTAACTAACTAACTAACTAACTAACTAACTAACTAACTAACTAACTAACTAACTAACTAACTAACTAACTAACTAACTAACTAACTAACTAACTAACTAACTAACTAACTAACTAACCAACCAACCAACTAACTAACTAACTATTCAATCAATCCATGCAACAACAGCAACAACAACAACAACAACGACGACGACGACGAGAACAACAACAACAAGAACAACAACAAACCGTTTGCGCGAAGGGTGTTGGGGCATCCGGATGAAGTGCGAGCGGGGTGGACAGTACCACCAGCATGATCGCGTGCACCGCCAGGGCTAGCATCAGGTTGCGATGCACCCTCGTTCTGGGACACTCCAGAGACCTGCAGTTGTGATCACCATGCAAATCATTACCAATTGACCCTAAACCGTACCCGATAAGGAAAGGCTTCGCAATCGTATCTACTAAATTCTCTTCTAATTTTTCTTTTTCAATGGACACCATTGAAAAAGAAAAAAAAAGTTTTAGTTCCTGAATTTGTTCATTACATTGCTTGGTTCCCAGCATAGATGGGAGACGACGTGCTGCCGGGTCGTCTGAACCCGATGAGATTGCCCACCACCGTCCACGATAACTGACGCACCGCGACGGAGGTGGGACCTTTATGGGTTCGCAGACTGTAGGGCACAGTGAACTTCTCCTTACGTTTCACGAAATTACGGCTCGTTACAAATAGGAGAGGCGAAGTTTCTACCTTCCCACCCCAAACATGAGTAGGGTAGAATCTTGTATGCTCCGGAAGCTTCAGACACGTTCGTACCCATCGAGAGGTTTCCTTGGCAGTCTTGTCACAGAGATCACACGGAGATAGATTCTCATTGCCCGGATTGCGGAGAAGGTTTCTGTACCTTAGCCCACATGCTTTGGTAGTGCTCCGTGTTACAGGACTTCAAGGACAGCGAGGAATGGCAGAAGGCTGTCACGAGCTCCGGACTAGAAGACCAGTTCAAGGCAGTCCAGAAAGCCCGTGAGAGAGCAGAGAGGCATGACCTCCAGGCTCCAACATGAGATTAGCTGACAGCAAGCCAGTGGTATTTTGTAACACTGCATTTGCTGGATCCTGAAAATCTCAATAAAGTTCCTTGTCTGACTGTGTCAAGCTCTCTAAATTTTGAAGTTTTAAGGTCGCAAGATGAAATCTTAGCCGCAGTGGCCGCATTTTCAATGGAGGCGAAAATGCTCGCGGCACGTGTACTTAGATTCAGGTGCACGTCACAGCACTCCAGGGGGTCGAAATTTCCAGAACTCTCCACTAAGGCGTCTCTCATACACATATGGTGCTGTTGGGGCATGAAACCTTATAACTTATAATTAAACTTTGTAGTTTTGCATATACCAACGCCAAACTAGGGTTCAGAAGCGCGCCGTAGTCGAGAACTCCACAATAATTTGTGGTTAGTTAACATTCACCGATGCTAGAGTTGGAGCCCGGGAAAGTCAGTAAGCATTCACTCTGAAAGGATGAGTGTGAAAACATGGACACAGAAAACAAGTCGATACCCCACAAACGGTGACCAACAACGGAACTTATTTGTCGGCGTTTTGTGGCATCTTCAATGATCTATTGTGACCGTGTTTGCACACCCAGCCATTCTGAATCAATACAAACCTGTTATTTTAACACTTTGTGACTCTCTGTTAACATGATATGGATCAATTCGAAAGCGTTAACAGCACATAAGAGTCAGAGGAACTGCACAAAACAAAGAGATGCAAAGAGCGCTGTCGCGTTTCCTGATCTTGTACGCTCTGTTAATACTTTCTAATGAATAAACGGTCGTTTTTTTTTATTTCGCACCACCTCGTAATCATAGGACGGTAAATTAACTCATGACTCAACCAACTCAGATTCAGATCGATTCGTGAGTATGAGTCTGAGTGAGACCAGGTGAGTATTATTTCACTGAGTTTGAGTCCAAGTGAATCCCAAGCCCGAAATGTATTTCTTGAGTGAATCTGAGTGAGCTGAAATTTTTCTTTCCGATCTATGCTCGTAATAAGGGCGTCGGGGCCAGTCATCGAACCCACTGCTAAAGTGTTGCATTCTTACGAACGCAACACTTTAGCAGAGGGGGCTAATTTACAATTGGGGCTAGTTGGTGCGTTTTCACGTTTTGATGTGCTGCCAGGTATAATGCACGCAGAGTATAATGCCTGTTGTAGTGTGAGACGCAGGCAGTACAGCGATGGTAGTTTTATGTCTGCAAAGCAGAGCGTTTCGGTCGACGCGCGCATCCAAGTCTTACCTGAAGTAGCAGAAAATGAACATGCTGGCCGAGAGGAAAATGAGTGACAGTAGGGAGAACAAGAGCAAGATGTAGACGACCGCCAGGGAGACAGCTGAACTGCTCTGTTGACCGGACTGCAAGGAGTTGAGGGATAGATAGATAGATAGATAGATAGATAGATAGATAGATAGATAGATAGATAGGAGAAGATAGGAGGCTTGTGAAAATTAATAACACAAGAATATTGTGGTAGCGCGTTGGCAAGTCATGAACGTCCAGTGGCACGTTATATTTACACACCTCAGCCCTCTCTAACTGAATAGTATTCTTTAATTAACGCCGAATAACCAACGGAAATTTTCGCTCCGATATAAATACGCCTCCGGTTACTTCTCTACACCAGCAACTGGAAAACACTCGGAGAATGTACGTAATTCTCATTCCGTTACCCTTCTACGCACAAAATAAAAAAAAAAACGGTGAAATTGTTGACTTATAGTAAAGCAGTGGTACACTAAGCACGTAGCATGGCCATTGAGATTACTAACTTCGATATGTACAATTCAATGCGCATTAAACGTCAAGTCAAAGTTTTCACATCTTGCAACAAATGCTTCCGCGTACATGTGGCATCTGTTAACCCTTTGCCAACACGTTTTTTCGGTACGTCTATAGTTTTTATGTGGTGTGGCGTGAACGATGTACTTTTACGACAACAGTTACTAACAGTTGGCGCCATTACGGTTGCTCGTTCTCACCTGCTGATTGATCAAACCGAGACACTCGGTGTAGTTGGTCCAGTTTCCCCAGAGCCAGTTGCCGTCATCTCCGCACACACGGTAGGCGTAGAGGCCTGGAAAGTCACGAGGTTGAGGCGCAGTTGTCATCGGAAGCCCAAAGAGAAAAAGAAAAACACTGTGCGTCAGCTCAGCTGAGAAAAGAAGCACGACTTTCCGGACAGAAAAATAAACGAACTTGGGGTACACTAGGTAATAGAGTTTAAAAGTGGACGTCAAGTTGGACCATGGATACCAAGGTTGACATCTGGGTACGTTGGTATTTCACGGCTAAGAATAGTAACAGCGCGCTAGAAACGAGGTGTTTGTGTGTGCTTTCTTTGTGTCCTCGTTTTTAGTGAGCTATTATTGTTCTGAACCATTTAATCTGTGGACACTTCAAACGTCCTATGACCAACGTGCACAACAGACACGACGAATATTTTTGAATAAGTCAACTCTTTTCTCTGCCTCTTTCAATCTCGCCCCTCCCATTCCTACACGTAGAGCAGCAAACCAGCTGTACTGGTAACGCCTCCTCTATGGTAATGGTTGACCTCCCTTCCTATCCATTTTTTCACACCCAGGCGACCGAAACACTGTGGCCGATCACCTCAGTGACTGAAGACATAGTCCCGCTCTTGCTATGAACAACGTCTTCTGCAGGCGGGGTCAAAGGCCATCTGGCTCATGACGTCAGTTTGGAGTGAACGCCCATTTGTGCAGGCTTGTATGCACCCACCTTTTAGGAAGGAATGCCGCTGACTGGAAAGTTGTAACAGACTTTATGGTCGACTTGGAAAAAAAAAGAAGCTTGCACTAAGCTGCGCAAAGATTGACACAGCAAAGCTGGACGTGTATCTGGCTTATGTCAGATCATCGTCCTGCAGCACGGGAATCACAACGGCGGCGGCGATTGGATCCAGCGTGCTTGGCCGTAGAAGCGGCAATGGCTACGAGCGGGTGCTGCCTATACGATCAAAGCTTGCCACCCCACAATGTCTCAAAATCGATGTCCCTGAGCCACGGTGCAAGAAACTGCGGCGGGTACGGCAACTGCTCGGCTACATTTAGCCGAGGGAGCGCGCAAGTGTAGTGGGGGCGTTGGCTACGGTGCAGTAGGCGTTTTTGTGTTAACCGACGTCTTACTTCGAGCTCTAACAGTGTCGCTTTTCGAACTCGTAATTATAAAGACTGTATAAACAGTAGCTACCACGGGTTGGTTTCTGAATGTAATTTTCCTGTAGGCGTTGTCGAACGAGGTGCGGATTCCACTGTTTCAATTCCTGCAAGACAGCGGCTATAGGAGTACATCTCATTGAACAATACATTGGAAATGTCCATTGCCACAGAAAAAGTGAATAGAATTTATGGAACAAACAGAATGTCACCTGAATGAAATAATACTGATACACTTACAAGGACTCGGTGGAACGAACGCCCATTAAATAATACCCCAAGTTATGCTAGCACAGGCATGAACAGCTGCATGTCGCACTTTCCCAGAGGCAACGGGACGATGATTCAATGAAATGAACTTTGCAGAAGCCGACAGTGTCATATTTGGTTGTTAGTTCAACAATGGCTTGGAAGTGTTACAGCAGCCACGAAGGTGATCAGCCACTGTAATGGCCGTTCTGGTTCGTTATCGGCCGCCCAGCTTCTCTCCTCCAAACAGTAAGACCTGAGTGGGTTTTTACATCCCAGTCGTGATGCTATTAAACGAATATCAGGATGCTAGCTATGAAACGATAAACCTGGTGTAATTTGCTTTACGCTCATGAGATATAGTGTAATATTAGACGTTCCACGGTTACGTCAATGCCACCATACAGATAATGGTTGGACCGAGGAAAACATCGTATAAACAGCAGCCTCACTGTTATCACAAGGCTTAGCACAACGAGATTCAAAGGGAGCAATTCTTGAAGCGTCCATCTATAATGAACTCTCGGTTTGAGCCGCCACTAACTGATGCGAGCCCAGCGAGTTGCACACCGCCTGTTTATGGTCCTTCTTCCGCACTGCCATCTTGATGTGATGAAGCTTTCACAACTTTCGTCACAATTGAGAGGAACAGAAGGGGCTTCAACGTGAATGACCTCGCAGGGATCCGCCTTTCGCCGCGTGAATCGTAGAGGCCGTGCGTTAACACTGAATATGTGATCGCTTTAGCCCTCAAATTAGGCCTAATGCAGCTCCCCGCTCAACGCACTAGCGAAGGTCGGTGGCATTACCTGCCTCATTCTCAAGCATCTGGGACATGCTCATATGAAAAGAAAGACTTGTCAAGTTTGTTTAAGTGTTTTATGACTTCAAAATTCGTCCATTTTCTTTCGGTTAATGCTAGTGCTATGCGAGAGTGGTTCGTGAATGTGGTTAAGAACTCGACAACGCCACGGTTTGCCACTTTCTCGAGCAACTGAATGCACTCCACCGAAAGGGACACGTCCGTTAGATGGGCATTTCGAGAGTGACTCTCCTGGACATCGGGCCTATGTGAATGCCTTTAACTTTTGTGTAGTGCCACCACAGCGTACGCGTCAGCCCATTGGCTTACAATTATTTTGTCTCTTTCTCTTCTCTTTCCCCCTCTCTCATCTTTATACTCCCCCTTCCTATTACCCCAGCGTAGGGTAGCAAACCGGGGATGTGCTTGGTAACCTCTCTGCATTCTCTCTTGTCCTTCCTTACACTGGACATCACCCCTGCGAACACCATCTGTCGAACTTGATCGTAATTGAACATTTTTTCCCAAGGACACATTTAAAAAAATGATTCTAATGCATTTGAATGCGACTGGCATTGTATTATTTCTGTTCTCCGTTGGTGTACTGAACTTCGCCCGCTCGCCTCCGAACGCTGTTTTTAGGTGCCTCCGTGATCGCCATACCTTTGACGTAAAGACGGTGTAATGTGATGACGTCGCATGATGGCGTCCAGAACTTTTGGGGTGTATGACGTCATGAGGACGCCAGATGGCAATATAATGATGTATATAAGGTGTATAATTTTTGTTTCCCTCATCTCGCCACCGAAGTTTCTATATTCCAAAACCAACCTATATTCTAAATGACCCACCAGGTTTAAAGGGCACTAAAGTCAAATAATAACTTACGCGAGAGTGAAAGCTCAATGTATGACAACATCGAAAACGACAATATTATCAGCAACAGTGTCCTACTTACCAAGAAATTAAGGTGAATGCAGAAGAACACAAGCGCCGCAGTAGGACATTTTCGACATCAGACGGATCACTAGTAATCGATCAACTGCACTAATTAAAGAGCATTCCATGCATCAAGAGACGTAATAAATTGCTGCTTGTTCGTTTCTGTTTGATTCATGGAAAAAAGAACTGCCGGACGACACGGTGGGGAATGGTGCGAGTGGCTCAAAAATTCAATTTTCACGTGGTTAAACTGGACAGGTCGTGCTATCTAGCGGGGCGCAGTTGAACCAAAACACGTCTGCCAACTTGGAGCCAATGACACGAAATTGATCAATGGCCGTCGTTGCTGCTGTGGCTCCCACTGGTTTCGTTCTGTCTACTAGGGTCGGTGACCGCGCAGTAAAGCCGGGCAATGTTGGGCATGGCAACAGTGACGTGAGTTGGTCCGCTTATCGAGGCGGGTAATTTGAAGTGCGCTACCCCGATGCGGGACACTAAAACGTAATTTAATTTCAAAATAAGCCCCCCTTTAAAAAAAAGTAACACCACGAGGTTTCTGGACCGCTATTTAAACATTCAACGTCGAGTTAATAGTTGCCGTTAGTGTCCCTTTAAGTAAAAACGATTGCCATTGCGTGGTGTGATATACGAAACAAGAAGGGACTTTCATACCCGAATAACTGGCCAATGCGAAGAGCGAATTGCAGTTATTAAATGTAATAGAAAATTTCATTTCTGTCTTACACCCAAAATGCTAAGTGGATCTCTTAGGAGTTGACTTAAGCCGTCTTTAAGGTGAAAGGCGTTGTCTCTTTCTTCTAACTGTATGTATTATTGCTGCCACGTTGGTCTTCGAAAGCTTACCGCACCTAACATGGTTTTGCACTGCCTCCAAGATCGGAGGCACCACACCTGATTTTGCATTGGCTCCGTGATCGAACCACCTTTGACCAAGCTAGTTGCAACGTGATGGCGTCATGACGTGACCTCAAGGTGACGTCGCAATCACGTACCCCATTTGGATGATCTGTGACGTCATCATGACGGAATCCCGTGGGGGTCTTTCGCATCACTCGATCATATCCGAGGCCATAAGATGTCGACGCCGTGAAACCCTGATGGTCAAATTTAGCGTTTGTTGAAAGATGTAAGGCTCCTGGCTTGAAATACTAATTTTAAATTCCGTCATTCAATATACTGGTGCGATTCACCTCAGATGCACAAGAAAAAAATTCCCAAGTGGTCTGAGGGGCATTTTCTCTAGAATGTCTGGGTACGAATGGGCTGCCTCTGCTTTGCTGCTAAATGTAATGCTTTCAAATGCTTGTGGAGGAGGAGAGCCACGTTCTATATTAAAATAATTAACAGCGGGGAAAGAACGATGCAGAACTACACAGATTTCTGAAAGTTAATTCGAGCACAAACGCATGACACAGTCACTCATGTCGTGTGTTCGCGCTCGAATTAGCTTTTAGAAATGTTGTAGCAGCTAGCCCAGCAACAAGTTCTTTTAGAACTTGTTGCTGGGCTAGCTGGAACGGCACTGGACAGCGCCGCTGTCCAGTGCCGTTCTCTTTCTGTTTCTCTTCCTTTTCACGTTACTAATTCTATATTGTATTTTACAGGTTTCATATAATTAGCCCAGCTCCTACAAGACAAAACGGATTAGAAAACGGTACGCCCTCGTTTGCTTTCCTCCGGCATAACGACGTTGATGCTATTATTTATTTCAAGAACACTTCTTTCTTCAAACACAGTATAAGGCTTCCTTATTGAAAAAAAAAAAAAAGCTATGAAGCCAAGCGCTTATTTAGGAGCGAAAATTCGGGGCCTCAAGGTCTGATCTCCCGCACTTATAGCTGCCGGTGACGTATGCGAAAAATAAAAAAAAAGACTTCTCAGCTA